CTAATGTAAATGTTCACTTCATATACCTGTCTTGTTTGGCTGAAAGCCACAGGTGTGGGTTCAATTCCAGACCTGAAGAGCAGCTAGGGGCCATAGTCTCAGTGGTTCCACCAGGCTCTATCAGACCAGCAAACCTGGTCCCTATTTTTTTTTTTTTTCCTAAATGATTTTGAGTTTTGTTCCACATTGCTCTCCCTCTTGAAGAAAATATTCTTTTTTTTTTTTTTTGAAGAAAATATTCTTAACTTGGAGTCTGTGGGTGGCTTCAGGGCATCTGTGACCCTCTTCCCAGTTTCCTCAATGTGTTGAGTTCATGTGTGTCTTCCTGAGAAGAGGGTCCAGAGCTTCATAAGGTTTGCAGAGGCCTCTCAACCTCCCACATGGTAACCTGGGACAGGGGGTGCTTTGGCATCTCTCCAGGTGCCAGGGACAGGCTGGTCTAGGGGGAGGGAGTTTGCTGGTTTGGTGTTGCCCATCCTCAGCGAACACCTGTGTGCTGACTGTCCCCTGGCTTTTCCAGACCATGTGACCAGAGAGAAGCTGGACCAAATCCTGACAGTGATTCAAGGCTCCCATCAGAAGGCCCTGGTGATGTAAGTGAGGCCCTGCCCATAGCTCCCCAAAAGGGGCTTTCCAGGAGGTGCTGGAGAACTAAGAGAAGTGCCCACAGGGCTGGCCACAGGCTCCATCTGCCCTGGGACAGATTTCACAGAGACTTTTCAAAATCTGAAACCAGACCCCACCCACCCACTCCTCTCACGGCACACAGAATTGTTTCTGGGTGCCTTGTCTTCTGAGTGCTGGAGAGGCTGAGGGGAACAAGGGATCCAGCTGTCCTCCCAAGGAGTATGTGATGTAATGGAGGAGAATCTTACCAGTATGAGAACTGTACGGAGCTGCAGGGCAAGGTGGGTGGTGGAGCCTAGTGGAGCCAGCCTGTCTGGGCCTTCTGACTCTACCAGGCACCAGTGGTGTGGGCTTAGATGAGTGACCAAACTGGCCATGGGTGTTACTTTTCTTCTCTGTAAACTGGGCACAAAAACAGCCCCCACCTCATAGACATGTGCTGGGGACTGTAGAGGATCAGGCAGTTACCTGAGCACAGTAACCTCACAGTACAGGTGACACCAGTTAGAACAAGCACATGAGGTGGAGACTGCTACGGTCAGAGAAGACCTCCTAGGGAGCATCGCTTTGAAGGATGAGCATGGAATTGGCAAGTGGCTGTGGTTGGGGGAATGGCTATATTAGGCAGTGGGAACATCACACGCTAAGGTTCATAGGTGTTGAGAGACTTACGAGGAGCCCAGCACAATGGCTGTGGGGTGCTTCAGGGGAAGTAAGTGAAGTAAGGGGACAGGTTGGACGAGGGCAGTGGGGAGCCATTGATGGGTTTAAAACACCCAGAAAACTGTACTTATCCCTCTGAGGACAATGTGGAAAGCAGACTGGAGGGGCAAAGCTGGAGATACAGAGTAGGCTCTGGACGGTGCCTGGGTGACCACCAAGTAGGGCCTGGACTGCAGCAGGGATAGCAGCAGCAACAGAGAAGAGTGGGGGCTGAAGCAGGATTAGGAAGCAGAATGGGCAGGATGATGGGGGTACAGGGAGAGGAAGAAGCTGGGAGGACACCCTGGGGTCTGGCCAGGCCGTGGGGATGTTGAGATGAGGAGGAGGAACCTGCATGGGGGAAAGGTTGCATTCACTTTGGGTCAGGTTGAGAGGGGCCTGTGGGATATCTGGCTGAGATGCTGCAGGGCAGAACTACAGGTGGAGGCTTGGAGCTGTCAGCACTTGTTGTTGTTGTGTGCCATCGAGTCGGACCCAACTCATAGTGACCCCTCCTTGGGTTTCCCAGGCAGTATCACTACGGAAGTAGATTGCCCCATCTTCCTTCTGAGGAGTGGCTGGTGGGTTTGAACCGCCAGCCTTCTGGTTAGCAGTCAAGTGCCTTAGGCACTACGCCACCAGAGCTCCCTTGTCAGCACTTAGGTGACTGTTAAAGCTGGAGAGTGTGCAGAGGGAGGACAGAGCCTACCTGTTAATAGGGCTGGACGGAACAGAGAGAAGGGCTGCCGCCAAGGTGGCTGGAGGAACAGGGAAGAGCAAGGTCATGGAGCGCAAACAAAGAGCTTCAGGAAAAAAAATGAATAGGGCAGCAGCAGAGGTGGCCAGTCAGTCAGCTCCCCACCCCCACACCAGCTGACTCCCCCTCCTGATCTCCAGGTACTCCAACCTCGACCTGAAGACCCAGGAGGCCTATGAAATGGCCGTGAGAGGCTTGGTCCGGCCTATGAACAAGTCCCCAATGCTGATAACGGGCATCCGGTGCCTCCACTTTGCACCTCCAGAATTCCTCTTAGGTAGGTTTCTGTGGGGAGTTGGACAGGTGAGATGGGGTTCCTGAGTTTGGGGAGTTGCCATAGAAAAGGCCGCTTTTCTTTGGGTTGGCCACAGCGACGCATGCCTAACCCTCATCTCTGCTAGCTAAGGCATCAGGAGCGGACTTCCTTCCCACCCCAGGCCAGGACTTGGCCGGTCACAGAGTACACAGAACAAATGCTCTCCTGTCTCCTGCCAAGTCACCCTTTGTAGCCAGACCTTAACAATAAAACCAAAACCAAACTCACTGCCGTGGGTCGGATCCGACTCATAGTGACCCCTCCTTGGGTTTCCGAGGCAGTATCACTATGGAAGTAGATTGCCCAACCTTTCTTCCGAGGAGTGGCTGGTGGGTTTCTGAGGAGTAGCAGGTGGGTTTGAACTGCCATCCTTCTGGTTAGCAGTCAGATGCCTTAGGCACTTCGCCACCAGAGCTTCCAGAGCAAAGGTTATATTTAGTGGCCCATTTCAAGAGCTGCCCAATGTTTCAAGTTGTTGTGGGTCCATCAGATCCTACTCCCACCTCCCCAATCCCACCCAACTCAGTTCCCCAGTGTCTTTTGTTGTTTGTCTGCTCCCCCCAACCCTTTTCAATTGATCATATTAACAAGAACTTTTCTTGAGCACTGACCAGTGCTGTGTACTTTATATGAATTATCCCTTTGACCCTTCACAACTACTCCATTTTACAGATGAGCAAACCAAGCCTTAGAACAGCTCTTCTCAAACTTTAACCTGCCCACGAACCACCTGGGAGTCTTCTTAAAAGACAGCAAGTCTGGGTGGGGCCTGAGAGATTCTGCATGTCTAAAATGATTTCAGGTGACACCGAGGCTGGGCCTTGCGCTGCACTTTGAATAGCAAAGCCTTAAAGAACTCAGGTGTCTTGTCTAAGGTTATTACACAGCCAGGCAATCTCCAAGAGGTATGGGTCCAGATCAGCTGGACACCAGAGACTGCTGGTGACCACTGTCTGTCATTGTGTGTCCCTGGCAGAGGTTCAGTGCATGCACGAGACGCAGAAGCAGCTGCGAAGGCTGGTGCATGAAATTGGCCTGGAGTTGAAGACCACCGCTGTCTGTTCCCAAGTGCGACGCACACGCGATGGCTTTTTCACACTGGATGATGCTCTGCTGAGAAAGCAGTGGGACCTACGCAGCATCCAGGATGCCATCCAGGCTGCAGCCCCCCGGGTGGCAGCGGAGCTGGAGAAGAGCTTGAGGCCGATGCTGGGCGCCCAGCAGCTCCCGGACCCAGGCCGGCCCTGGGACTCCACAGGGCCAAACTCCACCTGAGGCTTGGGGGGCTGAGAGGAGCATCAAGGGTCAGGCAGCTGGGGAGGTGGTGAGTGGCAGAAGGATCAGAACTAAGGAGGTACAGAAAGTAAGGGAGAGTTGAGGAAGATTTGCTATGTGTGACATCAAACTCTGAAGTTGTAAGAGAAGACATTGAGAGACTTGACCTACTTGGGAACCTGACAAACACTTCATCAGCCAAATGTCATAAATCATGTTGTAGTGTGTACCTTTGATATGAGATGATGAACATGGCACTATCCCCTGTGGTTTTCCTCCCACTAACCCATAACTCCAGTCTAGTCATGGGAAAGAACAGCAGACAAATTCCATAGTAGTCATCCTACAATATGCCTGGCCAGTACTCCCTGAACTGTCAAGAGCATCGAAGCCAAGGAAAGTCTGAGAAACTGCCACAACCAGGAGGAGCCTGCAGAGACGTGGTGAATGTAATACAATGTCCTGGATGGGATCCTGGAACAGAGAAAGGACATTAGGTAAAACTAAGGTATCTGAATAAAGCGTGGACTTCAGTTAATGATGAACGTACTGGTGGTTATTGTTAAGTGCTGTGGAGTCAGTTCTGACCATTCTGACTCGTAGCAACCCTGTGTGACAGTGGAACTGCCCTATAGGGTTTTTAGGCACAGAGTAGTTGTAAGTTTTGATTCCCACAGAACTGCTGGGCGGCGTCTAATTGCCAACGTTTTGGTCAGCAGCCAAATGCTTAGATATTGTGATACCAGGGCTCCTTAATGTATTGATACTGGTCCATTAATTGTAGCAAACGTGTCATACCCATATAAGATGTTAATAGTAGGGGAAACTTGGGACAGGTATGGGAACCCTGTATCATTGACTCAGTTTTTCTGTAAATTTGAAACTATTCTAAGAAAATCTATTGGGGGGAAAAAAAGCACCTGGGTAGATCTTTGAAAATCCAGATTGTAGCCTCAGCCCTGGGATTCTGACTCATTCAGTCTGGAATACAGCTCGGAAATCTGCATTTTAGGAAGTTCCCAAGTGAATCTGATACAAAGACTTTAAGAAGCAGGGTCCCACAGAGGCCAACTAGGGACTGTCATTCCTGTCACTCCCTTTTGAGCATCAGGAATAACATTGAAGAGAGTAACCAACAGCCATCCTGCGGGGCAGGGGCTGGTCAGTGCTGCCCAGAGCAGTCTTATCTGGTGGGAGGCAGGTGGCTGGTGGACTGACCGGAAGAGTGCCAGAGGGCAGGGCAGGCCCTTTACTCCCTTCCGCCACCGGCCACCATGGCTGCTGAAACAAGCAGACTGCACACCTTCTGTGGCTGATGGAGTCAGGTGTGATTCTGTGGTTGATAAATGTCCCTCTAGGAGCTCTTTGGTGGGTGTGCCAGGGGCCAGAATGACTCATAGCATTCCATAGTGCCAGTGTGGGGTGGGCAGGGTCTGGGGAATCTAGCTCTCCCGTTCCAGGGCTTTGACCCTTCCCTTTCCCAAATAAGAATTCAAACTTTATTTGATTGCACTGCATAGAAAAAGTACATCTGAATCTGAATCTCTTTCTAGAACTTAGAAAGTTTGGGCAATTGGCCTTTGGGTTATAAAGTAAGAAAATACCTCTTGAGGGTCTGTTGAAAGATGGGCTTTGCATACTTTATTCACCACATCCATGCCTGGGTGCCTAGGATGGGAATGTTCTCTCTCTTCTTTTTCATTTAGGAACTTGATACCTGCTCCTTGTCCCAGTTGAAATGGTCCAAGGGCTGCTGTGGTACTGACCACCTAGGTTTGAATCCCACTCCTCCTTTTCCTCAGTGTGTCATTTTAGACAAGTGACTTCATGTTGACTCTGCCTATGGAGAGCTCACCCTGTGCCAGTCCTGGGCTAAGAGCTGTTAAGGTACCTTCCATCATTTACATAATCCTCCACTCGGCCTAGGGTTTAGGTGCTATGGCTATCTTTGTTTTATGGATGAGGAAACTGAGGCATGAAGACAGCAAATGAGATGCCCAAGGACACCCATCAAGGGAGTAGAGTCATGATCAAATCCATGCTGTCTGCCCTCCTAACTACTGGACCGTCTGTCTCTTCTAGAGCCCTTGCTACTTTTACTGTGCCTGTTACTAATATTAGTATTGATAATACAATTGCGCTCTCTCCAAAAGAATCCATCTTCTATTAATGAATTAAGGTGGTCTGGTGGCACAGTGCCTAAAGCATTTGACTGTTAACCAGAATGTTGGTGGTTCAAACCCACCAGCCACGCCACAGAAGGAAGATGAGGCAATCTACTTCTGTAAAGATTTAGCCTTGGGAACCCGGCAGGGGTCGCTGTGAGTCAGAATTGACTAGATGGTAGTGAGTTTGGTTTTTAGATTAATGAGTTCGTAACTTGCTAGAGCAGTCTCTGTGCTTATAAATTTTAAGGTGTAAATTCCATGGGGGTAAGAGGGCACTTGTCCTAGTCACCATGGAATCTCCAGACCTAACACATAGTAGACTCTGGTAGTGTAGTGGCTAAGGCACTTGACTGCTAACCAGAAGGCTGGCGGTTCAAACCCACCAGCCACTCCTTGGAAGGAAGATGGGGCGATCTACTTCCATAGTGATACTGCCTCCTCGGAAACCCAAGGAGGGGTCACTATGAGTCAGGTCTGACTCAACAGCACATAACAACAAGTAAATATTTGTTTAAGGAATGAATGTCTATATTTGGATGTAAATTTGTGTTGAGTGAATAATAACCCAAATGTTAATTTTTTTAACAAAATGGAATTATAATTCACAAAGTGTGTTGGAACTTCTCTCACTTAACAATAGAGAGTGGCCATTTTTTCTTTGTCTGCCCATTGTGCCAAGAACTTTTTCCTGGGGAGAGGGAGTGGCCAGGGAGACAGGGCTCTCTCTTAGAAAGATCCTGACTTCCCTCTTTGGACTGAACCTAACCTTTGAACAAATTGTTGGCTGCTGGTATAGAGCCATTTCCCTGAGGCTCCAGCCAGTTTAGTCAGCATTCACTCAATAAGTATTTATTTAGTGTTTATTATTTGAAGGTGCTGTTGCAGATACAGGAAAACATCGGCAAACAACACATAAAACTGCCTGCCAAGTGGAGGGAGGGAGAGCTGTGATGTTAAATAGGGCTGGCTGAGAAATTTGCGTAAAGATGTTCAAGGCCAAGGAACAGCCGGTACAGTTTGAAGGATATCTTATTTACCAGGAGGAAGATGATGTTCCAAATGGAGACATACTGTCTTCTGGTTGACCCGGCTGTCTGCTGGTGAATCACCTGATAGCTTGGCCAGTGTACTTCCGGGGCAGTGAATTACTTCAGCAGTTGTCTTTGTGAGCTCTGGTAGTGTAGTGCCTAAGGCACTTGACTGCTAACCAGAAGGCTGGCGGTTCAAACCCACCAGCCACTCCTCGCAAGGAAGGTTGGGCATTCTACTTCTGTAGGGATACTGCGTCAGAAACCCAAGGAGGGGTCGCTATGAGTCGGGTCCCACTCCACGGCACATAACAGTCTTTGTGACTCCCAACAAGTGACTGGGTGGGACTATGCATATAAGGTGTTTGTAGCCTACTACTAACACAAATAAGGTGTGAAACCCTTGTAGATTCCTTGTGGGGGGCAGAACCATACAAATAAGGTGTGTGGAACTCTAATGAAGGGATTGGTCAGTTTTGCCATCCTCCTAGGCTTAAAATTAGCTCATCCCAGAGGTGAGAGAAGGTACCTCACTATGACCAAGAAGAGGAGCTAGGACCAGAGTGTGCCCTTTGGATCTGGGGTCCCTGTACTGAGAACCTCCTAGACCTAGGAGCCAGAGAGCTATAATACCAGAGAAGGCGTGAGATAAGTGAGCCTGAGAGACAGCAGCAGCAGAACCAGGAGACCAGCAGGAAGCAGATGGTGCAGTGGGCTTCCTGGCCCATGAGGGAAGGTGGCTACAATGGGCATGTTGGCCCACAGAGCAAGAGAGGCGGGTGCCTAAGACTTGCTCGTGGAGTGGGTTGCTTCTCTCCGGGTATTTGTTGGTAGAGCTAAAGAGGTTTATAACACTCCATGGAGCAGGGCAGAGGCCAGGTGAGGACTGAGAGAGGAGGCCTGCACGGCAGAGAGCGCCATCTTGCACTGAAGAAGGTAGACTTTGCCTACATGCTTCCTGATCCTGATCCCAAATTGTAGCCTATTACTTCCGTAATGAATCACCTCTTCTAGCACTTAACACCAGTGACTAAAAAGAAGATAGAAATCATCTGCCCACACTGTTTGGCTGAGAAGCTGCCCTGTAAGTTGTGCCTAGGGCCCAGTCCTGGGCCTGGGCAGAATCAGTGCTCAGCAGGACTGGTGACCTGGATGGAAGTGATGACAGTGATATGAATAACAGCTACCACTTACAGAGGGCTTATGATGTTCCAGGTTCTGTGCTAAGAGTTTTATCTTCACCATCTCACTCCTCCACCGTCTCCCTATGTGGGAGATATTTGATCATTCCCATTTTGTGTATAAGGAAACAGGCTGCAAGGTGGGAGGTAGGGGGGACATCCTGCTTAGTAGAGTTCGCCTCAACTGACCTTTTCCCAGCTGATATCTGAGAAGGCAGGAGATTAGGATATCTGTTTCACCTTCATGCTTCCAGCATCTCTACCCCAGAGGTGGTACCACCCTTCTTGTCAACCTTAGAACCACCACCCTGAGCTGTGGCTAGGCTGAGAGATGAGTAAGTGCTCTTTCCACCTGTGTTGACTAAAGCCACATTCACTGCCCGCCACAGTCACCCCTTCTTTGTCCTTAGCAGATCCAGGCTTCCCTCTTTCATTCCCTTCTGTCCCCCTCTGACACCACCCTCTGAGATTCCCAAGGAGCATGGTCATGTCATGTGGGGGCTTCCTTCTTAAGTAATTCCCAACATTTCACTCATTTAATCCTCACAGCAGTCCTATGAGGTAGATAATATTATTATCTACACTTTAGAGACAGGAAAATGGGCACCACAGAAGAATTGCCC